CGGAAGAGCATCCATGGGTTGATGTTTGCTTGCAGCTTGGTTGTGCTTAATTGTTTGTTTCCCCCACCCCTCTTCTGTTTACAGGCTGCTGAAAAGACAAAATTGAGAAACATTCCTGTAAAGTAAGTTATTTTTATATCTGTTTGAAAATGCAAGTTTAATGAAGTTGTTGTATACAGTCACTAAGAAGACTAGGACAGTAAGAAGGGCGGTGAAAGAGGTAATAGAATTCAGGTTGCCCCTAATCATAGCTATAAAAAGGTCAGTATCATTGAGGAAAGCTTTCAAAGTGTCCCTAATGATTGCACTCCCCAAGTTTCATCCAGTTTCCATAAATTAATGTGTTGTCTATGAATAGCTGCCAAATAATATCACAATCATACTCAATACATAGTGCTCCTAGCCTTGGGGAAGTTTGTACATGTTAAAAAGATTATGATTTTTAATTGCAATCCTTGAGAAGGTCTGACAGGGGGGAAATAACTAGGAATGTGCCAAATGATTTCTAGACACATGGGAATATTTTGCACCTATGTATCAAGGCTTTGCCATCCTGTTGATTAAGAGCTCTTTCTCACTCCGTGTGTGCGTCTCTCTCACACCATACACACACGTATGTTTCTGCTCTTTCTTTCCTCTGTGAAGGATGAGCAAGCTACCAGGGAGCAATTTCCAGGGCATTTTATGAGAAGTTCTTAAATCTTAGGGCACTAGCGGCAACACTCAACCATATATCATTGAATTAGGAAAGTTGCTATATAGGTGTCCTGGCTCTTTGAGAAAAGGCATTTTCAGTTAAAGCTACCAGAAATCAGTGATTCTGTTTAAATAATGAATACTCCAGTCTTAATGGGCTCTTATGTACCAATAAAACACATATTTTTAGCTTCAGTAGGTGATCATTGCAGTTTAACTAAGTCCCAGTAACTGTATATTCCTGTTACAGACAGAGGAAATGTTCTTATTTTTATAGTAGTTTGCTGATCATGCTGGCTTTTGGACTGGAGTGGTTTTGTATTTGTAAGAACATGCACTGACAGGACTCACAAATCATTGTGTTTTAGCACACATAACAAAAGAATACAGTTCTGCTTCTCACTTGGCTTCCGTTACATATAGTCATTTACACCTTATAAAGTGAACACAAAATGTGTATGAACACTCCTTGGAGTGATTAGGCAAGATGCAAGATAGTCATAAATCACTCTCTCTTTACGTTTCATTCAATCTGATAAAATTAGAAATAGGATCCAGCAGGGACCTGATAGCACATGAAACTTCTAATAAGACAAGGGACCTTTCTTGCCTATAGGGCTAGTTCAAATTCAGTGGAAGCTGAATTAAAGTCATTGTTAGCTGGTGGTTGTTTAATAGAGAGCGTGAAATGAGCTATGTTTTCACCTCACATTCTAGAGGATCCAGGAGTTGCAAGGTGATGAGAGTCCTGGGGAACAACTCCAAAATAATTATTTATTGTTATTCAATTTTTTTTTCAATATTTTTTGTCAAATTCTCAGGAATGGCTCAACTGAATTGAGTTTTCCCACGTATAACAGAGGTATTCAGCCTTGCAGTCATTAAACAGCGTGTATGTGACACTGATGCCCAGTTAATCCACCAGAAAGATTTGGGAGTGGGGGGAAAGGGTGATTTAGGTTAAATAATTCCTTTATGGGACTTGAGTGAGTGTAACATTTTGGAATGGAAGAAGGCCAGATGGATAGTCTCGCTCTTTCCACCTACATGTGCATATTTCACCCTGTCATGTTTCCCCCAACTGGTTGTTTAACTCCTCTTTGACTGTGTTCTTGGTGGCAGCTTCAATTAGTACCCTAGGGAATCCATTATACATATTAATTACACTCTGCATAACAAAACAGCTGAAAAATCTGCCTAGTATTTTTCAGTGACATGTAACTATTTAAGGTACCTGTATACAATTATGATTGTATGCTAAAATATTACCTCTCAGGGCAAAAGTAAGAATAGTGTCTTTAAGGTAGCAGTAGTAGATACGGATTGCATTTTTATACGTGTCGCAGCCACACTTAGTACAGCTCAGGCTTGTCTAGCTTTTAGTCGTCGCTTTTGTAGCTCTCAAATGTCAAAGAGAATTTCACTTGAATTTTAATGTTCTTCAGCTATGCAAAATAAAGTTAGTAGCTTCCATTGTCATAAGGGCTGAAAGCTGTACAGATTCCTTCTACCATATGTGACTTATCACATACATTTTTAAAAACACATTTCTGTTATTAAGACATATGTGATAGTACACTCCTGCAAATGTGAATTGCTTTTGGCTAAAAGCCATGCACTAATAAGTTGAGTTGAATCTAACTGCATTTGACATCTGTTGCAATATATTTTTTTACATATATAAATATATATATATAAAATACTCGCATTGTCATTAGCATAAAAAATTTCCTTGTTTTTACGTTGTGCTGACACAGTTCTTGTGTCCCAAAACTGGAATCATAAATCACTCCTTTTAAAGGCTATGGTTTATATAGGGTCCTTGGACAGGGCCTAATAGTGCCACTATTTAACATATTAGTTTAGGAGCATGACAAAGGTTTCTGTAGAAACGGACTATTTACTTTTCATTGCTCAGTTTATTAATGTTGCTGGTTTAATGTTCAGGAGGAAGTTTGCTGTTCTTTTTTGTTCTGTTGAATCCCTCCAGCACTTAACACTTGTGGAGGGAAAAAAACAAGGAATTTTCCTTACTACGGTTCAATAAGGCAGCCAAGCAGCTGATTTCTTAATGTCCGAGTGTCTATAGGTGCTTAGACTAACTGGTGTGAAATTCCTGGTGGCCCAGGTAGATGCAGGTGGCATTTGGCTCCTTCAGAAAGCTTGGTCTCAATTCCATGTTGCTTGTAGCACTGCAAGACTCAACACATCCATAGGAACTCATCTTTACGTATTGGTAGCATTATCTGACATAATATTACTATAAATAAGCACACAGAAAATATCTGAGAAGTCTCTGTGTCTGCAGAACTGATTTGTGTGTGTGTGTGTGTGTGTGTGTAAATACTGCAGTTACTTTTCCAGAAACATAAGACCCTTTTCTGTCTGTATGTGGCACCAAGGTGGCCCCCAAAACTGCAGAATCCATTACATTTAACTTATTTATCCTCTCCTGCCCTTGTCATATAAGGAACGCTTGCCTTCTCCCATTGGTTTTATCCATATTTACATTCAGAGTCTGTAGTAGAAAAGGGATTTCCTGGATGCAAAGTCCTAGATCCTTACTTACCTGCTAGTCCTTGTCATGCTGTTCCTATCCCTGAGTCTGAAAGAGGTAACATGACTTAAACAAGTTTACCCTGTGGAGGGTTTATGATTTCTAAAGAGCTGTTACATGAGAAATGGTTTTGAACTAGGACACATCCAGAGGAAATAATCTCCTGTATACCCTGTGATTTGATGGAAGAGGGGGAGAACAGCAATATCATTCAAATTCAATAGCAGCTTTGTTCTGAAACTCAACTGATGATCACTCTTCCCAGATTTTTTTCCAGACTTGGGTAGGCAATGGGAGCCCACATCAGCATAAAGCCTAGAGGAATCATGTTCATGTTGACTTGGACCACATCCCTTGTCTTTTATCAGTGGGTTGAGCTGCAGGATCCCCTCAGATCCAGGCACAGTCAGGGTTAGGCCTCACTCCCAAGTACAAATACACTTGGCTTGGCAGCCTGTACATTAGCATAGAGTGAAGGTCAACCAACCCAGTGCTTTATCTTTGCCAGTGGCAGAAGGTGAGGGAAGAAGAACAGCAATTACGGAGGCATCCTCCTTGGGGAGTATCCTCCCACCTTCCTGCACACAGCTTTTTACACTTCCATAACCACACGTCCTGTGTTTAGGAGGTACCAATGGACTTATCCTCCATGCAAAATCTCTTTTGAAATCTGTTTATGCTTCTTGTCCCCACAACATCCTGTGGCACTGAGCACCACAGTGTGTGAAAAAACAGTGTCTTTTGTTTGTTTTAAATCCTTTTCCTCATATATTCACTGGAATCCACACAAGTAGTTATTCTTACACAAAGGAGCAAATGATTACTCAGTGTTCTTAATTCCTGATATTACATATCTCTGTCATATAGACCAAGGAGTCTTCCTACTCAAAAGCCACTAATAATGCTGTTTTCCCTCTAAGTGTGTGAGCCTACCAGTGAGCTAATATAGACACAAGGCAAGTCGAGAGATTTTTTGCATTTGGGAAAGGAAGGCTGTGTGTCTACTAGTTGGGCAGAGACAGTGGTTAGGAAGATAACTACTATCTTTTCACTGTTTTCTGTATTAAAGAGATGAGTTCTTTGCATGGCAATGCACTTTGGACTAAGGAATGGATGTAACGTCACTCTAAACAAATGCCTCAGATTACAGGCCTTTATGAAAATGGCCAAATGGATTCCTTGGGAAAATGTGGGCAGGTGAAAGAATGATTTGGCTAAAACCTGATGTCATCCAACACTACGAAATACAACAGTTTTGTAAGAGAGAAATTAGATTTTTAAAATAGAAAATGAATGCTTTTAAGAGTCGTCCATGTAGTCCATGAACTGCTGTAGAACTGTGAGAATACTGGAATTGACTTCTTGCTTCAGGGAAGAAAACATTGCCTTCCTTGAGTGTCCTTTATTCTCTCTTCTTTTATAGTCCCTTTAAAAATCTTCAATAGAAAGCAATGGCATTTTCCCCAAACACCTGTATATGCTTAAATTTGCTGTAGATTTAATGACTTCCAGACACATGTTTTGGGATTACAGCTTGTGTTAAAATCCCGCTGCTTTTTATATTTTCAAAATATATTTGTTTTCCGTCAGCCACAGATTTGTTAACCAGAAAGACTTCTGGTGTTTATTGTCTTTTCCTGCCATAAAACTCATCTTCTCCTCAGAAGGGCATCTGACTTGACTTGGTATGGTTTTCTGTCCCAACCATCATTGGAAATGCAATCCATTAACATTTGATATCTTGACATTTCAATTGACCTCTCATTTGCAAAGCGCAGTGGTATTTTTCGTGGCCTTTTCATCCTTGATTATACATGGAATAGGAGTGACTGTTTCTACTGACTGCACTTTAAAAATATCTTTGTTTTA